AGATTGTATCATTTTGTATTCCCACCAACAGTGCATAAGGGTTCCCACTTCTATTTTTAAAAAGCTTTTCAATATGAAAAATGTTGGCCATTCACAAAGTCAGCAGGGTAGTGTGCTGTGCTCCTACGTGGGCTCACCTGGCCATGAAGTCCAGCCTTTTGTCTTCCGCAAGGAAGCTACATCCCTACCCACAACTCCTTCAGTAATTTTGTTTTTGTTTTTGTTTTTGTTTTTTAGGTAAAACTTACAAAGGTTGAAATGCATGAATCTTAGCTGTGTGATATTGACAGGTGTGCCCACAGGACCCGCACCCTGTCAGGATGAGGGACCTTCATTCCCCAGGAAGTGCCTTCCTGCCCTTCCCAGTGTGTCTCCCACCCCACCCCACAGGCATCTAGTCTGATTTATCCCTAAGTCAGTCCAGAATTAATGCTGGTGTTCTTTTCTGCCTGGCTTCTTCAGCTTGGCGTGATGTGTACAATCAATGCACATTGGTGTGTGTTTCAATAGATCATCCCTTTTTGTTGCTAGGTGGATTCTGTGGTAAGGCTGGACCACAGTTTGCTAGTCCATCCCCCTGGTAAAGGGCATCTAAGCTATCTGCAGCTCTTGGCTGTTAGGATTTTGATTAAGTCATTTGATGGACATGGGTTTTCCTTTCTCTTGGATGAGTGGAGTGGAATTTGGGGGTCATATGGCAGCAGAATGTTTAGATAAAGATTTATAGCTTTCTCACAAAGTGCTTTCTCTATGTCAGGGACTATTACCTGCCCTGCTCAACTGGCTCTGGGTGATTCGTTTGGAGCCTATTTGAGCTCAGGTGTCACCAGACTTGGGCAGTGGATAAGGGTTCTCAGCTGCTGTCTTCTGCCTCTCCTTCATTATTCTTCTTTCTTTTTCTGTTTTAAAGCAGTCTGTGTTCAGCCAGGTACTTGTGTATTCACATTCTCAGGGCTAGAGATGAGAAATTTCTATTGAGATTAGAATTTAAACTAATTATGTTTATTATTAATTCCATGAAGAGGCCTTTATCTCCACCCTTCCTCACACATTCCCTGCTTCCTACAGCCCCACTTGGCCTCTACTTCTCAAGGGATGTTTACTGGGAGAAGCTGTACGTGGACCAGCCAGCCGGCATGCCCCTACTCTATGTCCACGCCCTTCAGGACACCCCCGGGGAGGTGCCCAGCTTCCGCCTGCGCCCATACTTCTACAGCGTCTCCCGCCACCGGCTGCACAAGAATGACTGGATCCGCATCCAAGAGGACACGGGCCTTCTCTACCTTAACCGAAGCCTAGACCACAGCTCCTGGGAGAAGCTCAACCACCTCAGTAAGGGAGCATGCCCAACACCCCCCACCCACAACCCAGCCGTACCTCATCCTCAGGCCACTCTCATCACAACTGTGATACAGGCTCAGAGCATGGCTTGCCTATGTTATCTGTTGTGGGTGGGATAAGGCTAAAGGTGAGGCCACCCTGCCTTGTTGTCTAGCCTGGTGAGGGATCCAGGATGCATTTGGGGGCTATCAATGAGCTTGATGAAGCTGTTGAGATTTTGGAGACCTATGAAAATGACTTGGGTGCTCTCCACATGCCTTTGCTAGTGGGGGTAGCAAGGATTTGGAGGTCTCAAGAAAAGGATTGAGAGGAGCTGAAAAATCCCAAAGTTTAGATTTAGAAAATGACCTGGAACTTGTTGGAGAAGCAGCAGTTCCCAGGGAAAGCCTCACTGCCCATTGGCAGGAAGCTGCCCTTATACCTGGAGGGGCTTGGGCTTGACCAAGGTGTCCTAGGAAGGAGATAGAGCCCATACCCAGCTGCACAGAGTCAGGATCAAGGTCACAAGTGATGCTTGGTACTAGGTGGGATAGGGATGGAACAGAGCACTGGGGACAGAAAATGTTGATGGCACACATGGCAGTGCCCATTCTCCGAACACCCCTCCAGAGGCACAGCCTCACCTGCCCTCAGAATGGCCCTGAGCACTGTCTGCATGCAAGAGGCAGGCCGAGGGCAGTCCTACCCAGCACAGTGGACTGACAGACCTGATTGCCAAGAAACCAGGGCCATGAGACAGGGCAGACCAGACAGTTCCTGGAGAGGGCGGTATTTGACCTGGGTATTAATTCCACTGACTTCATCCTGAGCTTGAGAACTGGAGTCCCTGGATGGGGGGCCAGAGTGGAATTTGCTTGCAACCTGCATTTCCTGGGAGGCCTGAGCCATCTGACATAGGAGAGAGGCCTCTTGCACTGGTTAGGTCTAGTCAGGGGATAAACCATGGGGTAATCTGGACAGGGAAAGTTTGTGTACAGTATTCTTAACCATAACAAAATTGGTGCAATGAAGGACAGGCTAGCGAGAAGCAGAGAGAATGCTGAAAAATACAGGAAGGCAGATGTGAGGAGCAGCCACTAGTCCAGGGCTAAGACGGAGGACCAGGAAAGCTCCCCCACCCTAGCGGAGATCCAGATCTGGCTGAAATCACTGTGGTGCCTTGGTGATGGCACTTACTGGAAATGCCCCTCTAGGTGCTGAGGAAGTCTGTTTCCAGGGTATCTCTGATAAAAACCAGCTGGGGCAGTGTGGTCAGTAGGAGCAGGGCAGCGAGTGTTCAGTTCTGTGCATAGGGTGCCTTCTGGTAGGGAGGGGCATTTGGTGCTTCAGGCCACAGGGCCCTGTGCTCAGTCCTGGCTGGTGTGGCATCACCCCAGTGGGGCCTGACTTATTCTCTCTTCACAGACGGTGGCTACCCCCTGCTCACCATCCACCTCCAGGTCTTCCTGTCCCCCACATCCCTGCGAGAGAGCGAGTGCCAGTGGCCAGGCTGTGTCCGCGTGTACTTCTCCTTCATCAATGCCTCCTTCCCAGCTTGTAGCTCCCTGAAACCCCAGGAGCTCTGCTTCCCGGAGACAGACCTGTCCTTCCGCATTCGGGAGAACCGGCCCCCTGGCACCTTCCACCAGTTCCGCCTGCTGCCTATACAGTTCCACTGCCCTAACGTCAGTATGACCTACAGGCTTCTGGGAGGTGAGTGCTGACCTCAAGGGCCATCCTTCAGTGCCTGTTCCCGGCCTGGCACAGCACGGTGAACCAGCCCTCTGGGTTACTCTTCACCACTATTCCATAAGCTCATTTAATACTCCAGAAATATCTCTTTTGTGCCTACCATGGGCTAGGTACCGTTGCAGGAGCTAAGATGTGACAGTGAGTAAAACCATCCTGGAATCCTACCTGCCTGGGGCTTCTACTCCTGTGGGGGAAGGAAAGCAGACACGTGCCGAGGAAATCAGGTGGCTTCTGGAAGGATAGAGAGCTAGGAAGGAAAGTCCGGAGGTGTGGAGACCACTGTCAGGGCAGGGGCCGCTAGAGCAAAGGCAGGAGGGTGCCAGGCATGCAGGTCTAGGGAGAACCCAGTATGGCTGGTGTGGAGTGAGCACCTGGGAAAAGCTGAGGAAAGGAGCAGGTCCGGTAGGGACTTCCCAGGAATTTGCCCCGAGGGACGTGGGGAGCCACAGAAGGCTTGGAGAGAGTGTGATTGACAGGTCCTACCTTACCCTTAAAAGGATTAGTCAGACTGCTGGGTTAGGCATGATTTGGGGTAGGGAGGTTTGGGGAAACAGATAATTAGAAGGCTACAGAAGAACCCCCCATCTAGAGAAGATGGGGGCTCAGATGAGGATGGAAGCAGAGAGACAGCAGGCAGCTCTGGGCACACCTTGGTGCAAGATCCAAGTAGGATTTCCTCATTGGTTAGATGTGGGGAGTTGAGGGAAAGGGGGCACCAAGCATGGTTCCCAGGGTTCCGTGGGCAGCAGCAGGGATGTGCTACCTAGCAAGGACAAGGACCTGCGGCAGTGGGGGGGTGGGTGGCAGCTGACAGCGGTGGGTATGAGAGAAGGCAGCCCACAGCCCCGGGAGGCACCGTTTCACAGCCTCAGAGGTGGGCTCCACTGGGTCACAGGAGCTGCACTACTAGAAAGCACAGCTTGCATTCCCCAGGCTTATCGCACTTAAACATGGTAATAATGATGTTTAAAAAAAAGAAGAAAGAAAGAAAGAAAATCTCAAGAGGAAGAAAAGCCATCAGTCACTATCCTCAGCATCCTTCCATTTTTGCATGCAGGGTTAGATATCATGGATTTTTTCCTGCTGCCCTTTTTTACTAAAAATTGTATAATTCAATTTTGTTTATTGGGGGGCGGTTGTAATCACAAAGGGAAAGATCATACGATAAACATTTCCCGTATGTGGAATTCATATGTAACTCATGGTTGTGATTGGAACGTGTGTGGAGTTGTCCTGACCTCCCTCTGGTTGTCTTCGGGAGGTCTTCATTGTTGACCTTCAGCATAACCCTTTGGCGGGGGTTATTTCTGGAGGACAAATGCCAGGACAGGCTCCTGGGCCTACCTCAATGGGTATTTGTTGTAGGGCACCTTCGGGTCATCATCCCACCTGGACAGGAAACCGAGGCACCTGCCTCGTGTACAGCAGGGATGAACAACAGGCAGTCTGAAATATTTGTCAAGTAGTATACCAGATGTCCACTGTGTTTGTCTCCAAATGGTTGAATTGTGGCTTTATTTCTCATAGTCTCTAAAATGAACACATACTGCTTCCATAATTTTAAAAAAATCCTAACTTTTTTTTTTTAACCAGCCAAACCAGGAGCTGGCTTTCTGGCCCTGCAGCCTGGGCCGAGCTGGAACCACCCCTCCCCACACAAGCCCACTCCAGATAGAGACTAGGTGGGCGAAGGGCTGCCCTAGCCCCTCTTTCCACCGACACGAGTAAGGACAGCACCCACTGCGAAGCATATAAGCATACATAATCATCCCTGCAAACCCGGTGCTTGGAGCCCTGGGCCCCGGTGGAGCTGAGGAGAGGGACACACGGGGCTCCAGCCAGCATGCGATATGCGCGCAGCTGGGTGCCCCGCCAATGCTGAGGCTCCCGCTGGACCCCTGAGGAAGGCAGCACCGGTCCAGGGGCGCTCACGCGGGGTTCCTGGTCCGCTTGACGCGCAGGTGAGAATCTGCCCTTCCGCTGCGCCCCGGACAGCCTGGAGGTGAGCACGAGCTGGCCCCTGGACCGCGAACTGCGGGACAAGTATGAGCTGGTGGCCGAATGCACTGTGCACGCTAGCACGCGCGAGGCGAAGGTGATGGTGCCCTTCCCTGTAACCGTGTACGACGAGGACGACTCGCCGCCCACCTTCCCTGGGGGCGTGGACACCGCCAGCGCCGTAGTGGAATTCAAGCGGAAGGAGGTGCTTGTCCGCGTGCGCTTGTCTGTCGTTCGGTTTCTTATCTTTAGTCTGCAGTTTAAACCTAACTATTTACCTGCCTGTCTAGCCACAGTGGAGGAGGGGGAGGCCTGCCAGTGTCCAACAGGGAAGCGGGTGCCCAGCCTGGGTTTGACCAAGAGGACAAGGTCCGAGAGAGTGCATCTCGGACAACTGTGCCGCGCTCCCCAGGCAGGGAGACATTTGCGCAAAGGGCACTTCGCTGCCACCCGCAGCCAGCTCCTCATAGGACATCCAGGCTTATGGAGAAGAGCTAGGATTGGAGAAAGCTGCAGAGAGGAACTGGCCAGGGTCCCTTGCGCCGCCCTGCGTATCCCAGACCAGCGCCGCTCTAGCCTACGCAGATGGAGCACGTCCGCCACCTGCTGGGCCTCGGGTCTTCCTACACAGGCCCAGCCCCAAGCTCAGTGGGGGGGCGGGGGGGGACTGGTGGGAACCCCGAGCAGTGCATTGCCTTTTCCTGCTTCTCAGGGCACCCCAGGTGCCGGTTTGGTAGGGTTGGGGTGAGTTTCAGGAGGAAGCACATCTATGGGGAAATGCCAGCGAACCTGGCTGAGCCTCCCTGGGGTGATAACAGGGGCCTGGTGGACAGACCAATCCGAGGTGCCCCGTGGCCTTGCTCACAGCCCCCACCCTCCCCGTGTAAGAAGATGCTTGGTGGAGAATGTGCTCATGTACATCTGGGTTGGATCTCTGTTCTGCCACCTGTCACTGTGACCTTGAGCTGACCTTCACCCTGAAGGACCCAGCTTCCTCAGGGGAGAGTGGGGGTTCTTGTTCTGCTGGGGGGGGACCTGGATGTCTGTTAGCATAGTGTGTGATCATGTGCCCCAGTTCTCCGGTTGGAAGTCTGGAGATGCTTTTCATACCGGTTGCATAGGTGAGGGGCACAGTGAACCTAGGTTAGCTTGTCCCCAGAGCTGGCTCTGACACCTGGCCCTCCTATGGGCTGTGCCAGGCACCATGCTCATGACGTTTTGGGGATCTCCACGGGGCGCCTCTCATGTGCTCTGATCAGTGCTTTCCGCACCTGCAGGGCACTGTGGTAGCCACACTGCGTGTCTTTGACAAAGATGTTGTGCCAGCATCTGGGGAGCTGGTGAAGCGGTATACAAGCACCATGCTCCCTGGGGATGACTGGGCCCTGCAGGCCTTCCGCGTGGAGCACTGGCCCAATGAGACCCAGGTCCAGGCCAACGGCAGCTTTGTGCGGGCAACCATGCATGACTACAGTAAGAGGGGCCCCTAAGATACTGGATTGTGGCTCTTCTTGGGTGGGCAGTACTCTCCCACACCCCCCTTGGAGTGACCCTCTGTAGCCCAGGCCACTTCCTTCTACCCAGCCCCTTCTATCTGCTGGGCTCACCCTGAGCCCCTGGGCAGACTTTTATAGCCTGTCATTTCCACCGAAACTGCCCATGGGCAACTCTAGCAGGGCCACATCACACACCATGCTGACCTTGCCAGGTCTCATTGCCAACTGCCAAGACCTATTACCTGAGGCCTTCCTCCAGACCCTGGGACCTGCTTTGCTTCCCCTGGGGTGGCCCAAGTGTGCAGGATTGTTCCCTGCCCCAGCAGCTCAAATGGGTCTGTGCTGCTCAACTCCTGGGACATGTTACAGTGCCTGCCTGCTTGGGGGGCACCTCTCTGTAGCTGCCTCGCTTCCCTGCTTCCTTCCCTCCCTCCTGCCCATATGTCCTGGGATCCCTTTCTGAATAAAGCACTTGCACTTGGGGACCTCTGAGTATCTTTAATACAGATCAGGGATCCAAGGTTATGGTTGCCTTTACCCCTTTCTACCTGGCCAGATCCTGTTCGTTCCTCAGCCCTCCTCAACCCATAAGCCTTTGCAGGTCCCCACCTGTCCTTGCCCTGGCACAGGCAACACCTGTGCCAGAACATCCCTTCACACTGTCTCTGTCTGCTAAGTTAGAATGACAGCTGTGGCACAAGGGGGATACACAGAAGGTACAAGTTCCAGGGCCAGGCTTGTAGCATCCTTGGGTCTGCTGGAGGCAGCTGCTGTAGAGAGGAGTTCTGCCATTTTGGGGGGGAACTGATTGAAGAGCTCTAGCACATTCCTCCCAGGGCCTCAGTGGAGGTGCAGCTTTTTACCTCTTGTGTGCCCACATGCCACACACATTGCATACGTATCCCATACACACAGAACACCACACACCACACGCATAGCCTATACACAGATACCCCATAAGCCCATCACACACACATCCCATACACACCCCATACACACAGAACACCACACACCACACGCATAGCTTATACACAGATACCCCATAAGCCCATCACACACACATCCCATACACACATCACTTACGCACATATTCATAAACCCATCACATACATCTCTCACATTACATATTCACACTATACACAGACCACACACTACACGACACACGCACACACAGGTTGCTCCCAGCTGAGAAACATTCTCTGGGTTGCCAGCTTAGCATAATGGCCATCATTTAACTGGCGGCTGCAACTTAGGGCCAGCCAGCAGGCCCATCACAGGGCACCATGAGTGTGAAAGCATATACTTGCAACACTCACGCATGCTGAGCCGTGTGTCTGGAGAAGCAGCTCAATAGTCCTTGTCATTTCCCCACCCACAGGGCTAGTTCTCAACCGGAGCCTCCCCATCACAGAGAGCCGGGTCCTGCAGCTGGCCGTGCTGGTCAACGACTCAGACTTCCAGGGCCCTGGGCCAGGCATCCTCCTCCTTCACTTCAATGTGTCTGTGCTGCCCATCACCCTGCGCTTGCCCAGAGCCTATGCCTTCTCCGTGAGCAGGAGGGCCCGCCGTTTTGCCCAGGTGAGCCCAGGCCTGCTGCCTGCCTGAAGAAAGGCATGGGGGTCAGGGATGCCCAGAGTGGGCCTAATCTCTTTTAGCAGATTGCAGCCAGGGTTCGGAGTGGATGACATCCCCTCCTTGGCCCAAGCAGCACAGAGTAGCACAGTGAAGTCACTGGCATGGGCCAGAGACACCTGAGAGGGCTCACAGTGGGCAGGGCTAGGGGCTCCTTTTTTTTTCCCATCCCTTCTTAGTATTTTTAAAACATTCTTTGCACTAATATGAGAGCAGAACTGGGTACATCTACATGTTGACTTGGAAAGGTGTTCCTGGTGGATTATGAGAAAGAGTGGTTTGCAGAATTGTTGGTCTCATGTGACTCCATTTGTGCAAAAGCAAATCTTCACTGATGGAAGTTTGCAAATGTACAAACCCAGACAGTTAGCAGTGGTGCCCATTTAGGGAAGGCAGAAGGTGCTTCTACCTCTTTCTATACAGAGAACTTATATTGTTTTTGGAAATTAATTATTAAAAATAGAAAAAATAAGAATGAGGAAAGTGGAGGAGTGATCTTTCTTCCCACATTTGGCATCTTGATGCAATTCTTTCTCGAATGTTCTTCTTAAGGAAATTTACATGTGCATGATTTCACACACTGTATTCTAATGGCACGACATATGGGCACCTCCTTTTCAGAATGTCATGTTAAGGCTATCGCTGTTGTGTCAGAGGTTTTGCTGGTTCTCGTGGTTGATTCTGTGCCCCTATCCACTCCTGGTAGCCACCTGGCACCAGCACACAAGGACACATCCTTGAACACATCTGGCTCCCTGACCTGCTGCTCCCACTGGCCTTTTTGTGAGGGAGGGTTTGGAGACAGGTCTGGGGATTGTCATGGGGCAGCAGGGCAGAATCAGGCATTACTGGAGGTGGGTGAGTCCCCTGAACTCTGTCAGACTCAGGCAGACCATAGGGGCCCTGTCCTATCTTCGACTCACTGTGTTCTCTCACTCCCTCTCCAGTTTTTGAAGTTGTGAACTGAGAGCAGGGACCTGGGACAGTTGAGGGTCACATGAGGCTGTGGAAGTGAGTAGGCTTATAAGGGGAGGTGAGGAGACCCAAGATGCTGGTTTTGCTATGATATCAGATGTGGGTCTGAGTAGGGTATGCTGGGCTGGGGCTGGCTCTTTGCCTGCAGGCCAGGCCCATCCTCCCCAGCCTGGACCATTCTTCTCCCAGCATCCCCAGGAGAAGAAGGCAACACCCCCTTGGATGCTCCTGCCCACTTCATCTCCAGCCAAAGTCCCAGGGAAGCCCCTATAAATCATATGACTGGGGTGCAGTGCTCTGACTAGGCAGGTGACCAGGGCAGAGTGTAGTCCCCCAAGTCCTGTGCACTGAGGACAAGAGTGAGTGGTCCCCAGAGCAATGCTGAAACAGCCAGGAGTTGCCAGGAAGCTGTATGGGGGACATTCAGTAAGCCCTAGTGCCTAATGAGTGAGGAGTGAGGGGCTGAGTCAGCACACCCCACCCTCGAGGGCCTGCCTTGGGCATTTCCTGCCACTAGACAAAATCTCCTGAGCTCCCAGGAACAGGGGTGGCTAACTGTTTAGGACCAAGCCAGGGCTGGTGGGAAGGTCTACAGGTTCCCAGGAGACAGAGGATGAGTGTTTGGAGGGCTTCTAGCCCCAGGCCAAGTTGGGGGGCTTTACAAGATTTGGGCTGCCCAGGAGCCCCACCAGCTGCCCAGCTGAGCTGTCCTTGTGCTCCTTGCCTAGATTGGAAGAGTCTGTGTGGAAAACTGCCAGGAGCTCAGTGGTGTTCGCATCCAGTACAGGCTGCAGCCCTCCAGTGCCAACTGCAGCGCCTTGGGGGTGGTCACCTCGGTCAAGGACACCTCAGGGACACTGTTTGTGAACGACACGGAGGCCCTGCAGCAGCCAGCATGTGCTGAGCTCCAGTACACAGTGCTGGCCACTGATCAGGACACCCGCAAGCAGGCCCAGGCCCAGCTACTCGTCACGATGGAGGGGTCATGTGAGTGCAGCTCCAGGGAGGGATGGTCAGAGGACTGGGGGCTTCCCTGAGCCTGAATATCCTGCCCCATGAATGAGATAGTGCTGGCCACACAGCCCAGCTGGGGAGGGGAGAATGTGGGCCAGCTCAACCAGAGTGATCCTGTACCTGTCAGAACATTCTGTACGTGCTTTAGAGCTTCCAGGTAGACAACATGACCCTGGTTAGGTTCTGACTTCTGGTAAACAACAGGCAATAAGTGTGTCCCACACAATATTTGCAGAGTCTCTTGGGAGACAAAGCTCCAAGTTCACCCAGGCAGATATTTGCACAGAACAGTTGTTCACGGTTTATCTGAACTGCAGGTCTAATTGGGTATTCTGGGTGTCATTTCCTGAGTCTGGCCACTCTCATGTCCTTCCTCCTCCAGCCCAGGGGCTGTCCCCCCTTTGGGACCATAGTGTCCCATCCCTGGGCTCCCAGTCCAGCTCTTTTGGCCTGAGACTGAGTCACTCCCACCCTACCAGGTTTAACCCCAGGCCCAACCTCTTTGACCTTCTTGTCTGCTGTCCCCAGACGTGGCCGAGAAGGAGGGCTGCCTCCTGTCCTGTGCAGTCAGCAAGAGGCAGTCTGAGTGCGAGGAGTGTGGTGGCCTGGGCTCACCAACAGGCAGGTGTGAGTGGAGGCAGGGAGATGGCAAAGGTAAGCCCCCCACAGAGCCTGAAGGGTGCCTGGGCATGAGGGTACTAGGGGGAGAAGAGGGTCCTGTCCTCTGGATGGCCCTGCCCACTCCACATAAGTTTCCTAGCAATTGGCCCCCCTCATGTGATACCCAATGCTGGGAGAGTGGGCAGGAGGGTGGGGTGCAGGGCACCAGGGCATCAGCACATCAGTGGAGTGAATGGTCCCAGGACTGGATTCACCTTGGGCTTGGGAGGGTCTGGGCCAAAGTTGGGCTGTACAGGGTACCAAACGGCTCTTCCTTGGGGTCCAGGTCAGGGCATGTGGCCCTGGGGAGAAGGGTCCAGCCACCATGAGGGCCCCACTTACTGTGCAGCCTTGAGAGCATCCCAGCCTCATCTGGCCTCCTCCATGTAAGAACTGCCGGCCCCTCCCACCCTGCCGCCTGCAGCCTGTGCCCTCAGGCTCTGGCAGCTCCCCGCAGTGGGGGCACCAACTGGCAGGACTTCATGAGCAGTGTTCACATGCTGCAGCTCATGGCCACTGGGAGTGTGGCAGGGCTCCCCTGTGGGTGATGGCCTGCCATGTCTCCTGTGCAGGGATCACCAGGAACTTCTCCACCTGCTCCCCCAGCACCAAAACCTGCCCAGATGGCCACTGTGATGCAGTGGAGAGCCGCAACGCCCACATCTGCCCCCAGGATTGCCTCCGTAAGCAGCCTCTCAGCCTGCTGCAGTGGTATTTAATCAGGTGCAGGGACAGTAGGAGGGTAGATGGAGAGGCTGGACACCCCTTTCTTTGTACTTCATCCATGGCTGCCATGCTTACATCAGTTTTGTGCATTAAGCCGAGGCTCCTGCCATGGGGGGGTTGCGGGGGGAGGAGGTGAGGGGGGGACCTCATAGGGCCCTACAGTCACTCTTTAGCAGCAGAGAAGGGGTACCTGAAAGGGAAGGTGTGGGCCTGAGCAGGCCAGCAGGAGGAGGGCTGCACTCTAGAGTCAGCCAGGAGGCTGGAATGTATGGGTTGGGCCCCAGGCTCCACCGTTTTCAAGGAGGGGTGTACCGAGCCTTTTGTTAAGATAAAACATGGGGAGGCAGCTGGAGCTTGCTACGTGGCTTTCGGGGGCTTCTGAGTTCACTGCCCTTGGGTGAGAAGGGGGCTCTGCCTCTAGGACACTGCCCTTGCTGTCTCTGGGCCTTGGGTTGTCAAGTCTCCCAGGAAGCTGAGTGGGCATATCTGTCCTCAGGGGGCAGCATTGTTGGGGGGCATGAGCCGGGGGAGCGGCAGGGGATTAAGGCCGGCCATGGCATCTGCTACTGCTTCATTGAGGAAAAGAAGTGCTTTTGCGAGCCAGAAGACAACCAGGGTGAGTGGCCTGTCACCTCCCTGAGCCCCCATATCTCTCTGAGCCCCAGGGAAGTTTCAACAGCACTTCTGAAGTCCCTGGAGGGAGGAAATAAATGGAAGGCAAACTGATGGGCCCCATGAGACTCTCCTCCTCCCCTGTGGACCTCAGTTCCTCTATGGGTGCAGCCTAGGAGAGAGGCCCAGGGACCCTATAAAGTGTTCTTTAACCCCAAGTTCTATGATGAAGAACGGGATGGAAAAGCAGTTCCTCCACCAGGTTACTTATTGGTCTGATCGTATTGTCCCCGCATGGCACAGGCATCATCCAGCTGGGACCCACCCTATCAGGCACATCTTTAGGGGCAGCAGGGGCGGCTGGTGGCTCGAGGGAAATAGTTGCTCACACAGAGAGAGCTGTCCTGCATGAGCCCAGACATGCTGTTTTGTCATTTGAGTCATTAGATGGCCTGAGGTTCCAAGCTACTTTCCTCTATTACAAAGCAAATACCAAAAGCATTTGGAACAGAAGGGCATCCTCCCCTGCCTGCCCTCCAGGGCCTGCTGATGCAGTGGGCACATAGCCTCTGCTGTATGAACTCAGCAGGCTGCTCACCCTCTTTGATCTGTCACTATCTGTGAGAGGACAGTAGCAGTCTAGATGGGGGAAACACACATGGCAGTGCCTGTGCCTATGCCTGTTTGGTGTATTCTCAGGACTTCTTGCACTTTCATGGTCACTTCCCAGTTGGGACAGGCAGGGGAGGATGCCCAGCCCTGCCTGCTGGTGCCTCATGTGCCCCTGCCCACAGACCCGCTGTGCGACGAGCTGTGCCGCACGGTGATTGCGGCAGCCGTCCTCTTCTCCTTCATCGTCTCGGTGCTGCTGTCCACCTTCTGCATCCACCGCTACCACAAGAATGCACATAAGCCACCCATCCCCTCAGCTGAGATGACCTTCCGCCGGCCTGCCCAGGCCTTCCCGGTCAGCTACTCTTCGTCTGGTGCGCGCCGGCCCTCGCTTGACTCCATGGAAAACCAGGTCTCGGTGGATGCCTTCAAGATCCCGGTGAGGATCCTTGTGGGCTGGAAAGACCCCCTCCCCTCCCCAGAGGGCTCCAGGATCAAGCGGGCTGTGGAGACAGAGGATGTCAGGCAGGTGGTAGCTGATGGTGCTGAACTACACGGACTGGGATTTGGGCCATGAGGACCACGGGGAAGGTGGGCCAGGCTAGCGGGTAGGGGAGTGTGTACAGAGGCCCAAGAAGCGAGGGGAGGCATAGGATTTTATTCTTAGAGCTCTGGGGGTGAGGGTAAAGGCAGGGCAGAGGAGGCCAATTTTCTGCCTGCTGGGGGGAGTCTCTGAGGGGGTGCTGTCCCCATGCAGGTGAGAGAGGCAGTGGGGGGCAGCCAGAGCGGGGGCAGCCAGAGCGGAGGCAGCCAGAGCAGCAGCAGGAGGAAACAGCACTACAGTTAGAGGAGGGTACCAGATCCAGCAGGCCTCCCCTGTCCTTTTACTGTGGGCCGAGCCCCAGGTTACTGTGCTGCTCAGAGGCCCCAGGCTGTGATGAGGGCCCAGGCTCTCTGTCCTGGCCAGGCCTCCCTGGGCTGCCATGCTGCGACATTTGCCCTCTCCTGGCCAGCAGCTCCTGTGGGGTTCTCCCCGACCTCCAGAACACAGTCTGAGAAATCAGAAGCCAAGCCAGGTTCTGGGAGGACTGGGGAAAGTGCTCAGAGTCCAGGGTGTTTGAACAAAGGCTTGGGCGGGAATACTGGACAAGACACTCAGCACCCAGTGGCCATAGGGCACTGGCAGTTCCCACGTCAGGCTGTGGGAAGTGGCCTGGAATTCCCTAGGAGATGCCATATTTCACAGGGTGGCTCAACGTGGGGCCTTGGCCCTGGGGTCTGGTCTGAATGACACCCACCCCAAACCTTGGTGAGGGTGTAGGCCAAGAGGCCTTTCCCAGGTGTGGCCACTGCCACCTTCCTCTGGCTTTCTGTGACCCCATCATGACAGCAGCTTGGGCTCACAGCAGGGCTCTGGGATGAACCACCAAGAGTTCTTCACAAACCTAGCCAGTTTGCAGTGAAGCCACACAGGAAGGTTGAGGCTAGTGGCTGATTCTGCCAGCAAAGATGCACCACCCTCCTCTCTAGTCAGCTGCAGAGCTGGGCCTGATGCCCACACACACCAGCTCCAGGTCTTGGACACATGACTCAACCCCTTAGTCTGTTTTCTCTTATATAAAATGGGGAGGATGATTTTCTCAACATTTCTGAGAGAAGCACATTGGTGCGTCTGCAATGCTTAGTGCAGTGTGAGGAATGCAGTCAGGGGGTTTCCAGAGCCAGCAGTGGAGGTGATGGTGTGATGGTGTTGACGCTGACCCTGACTGTGATGGCCCAGCTGCTTACTGGAAGGTGTGACTGTGCCAATGAGAGGAAGTTCCCAAGTGCACACACATGTCAGAAAAGGTGACCCCTGGCCAAGGGCAACAGGTCCCCTTTAGTATCATCTCTGGTTGGTCAAGCATGGACCCTGAGGCTGTGTCCACACCCAGCTGCGGGAGACCTGGGGGATGAGCACGTGCTGCTGGCACAGGAGAGCGGGGTTCCCGGCAGGCTTTGGCTTCTCTGGTTAGAGTTCAAATACAGAGAGCTAGTAGGGGTAAGGGGTTGCTGGGAAGGCGACCAGAGCAGTTCTGATTGGACCTGGTGCATTAGTGGCTCTTTGGTGAGAAGGCAGGGTGGTGGCACATCAGCCCTAGCCCAGGTGGGGGACACAGTGAGCCAGTGTATGCAGGATTGGCAACAACCTTGGGAAGAGCAGCCACTTCCACAATTCAAGGCAGTTTCCTGCAGAGCACCATGGCACCTGTCCTTTTGGGGGTGGCCATGAGGGAAGTTGCCCTGGACAGTCCCACCATGGCTGGGAGTCAGGCTGGGCCACTGGTGCCTACACTGTCCTCTGGGGGTCAGGGCAGGCCACAGGTATGTGTTGGGACACTGAGTCCAGGTCTCTGTGTGACAATGCCTCCCTTCTGCCGGGTAGACTCTCTTGTAATGCCTCCTGGGGGCCTGGCTGTGGTGTCCTACCCTCAGTCAAGGTAGGCATCATTACCTGTGGTTTGCCAGTTCTCTGCATACTGCAGCTTGTCCATTAGGGTTGGAGCATGCTCCCTTCTGGGTTTTGCCTTTATTCCGCTAACATTTTCTCCCCTCCCCTCTCTCTCCCTTCCCTCAATGCCAATGTAGGAGGATCCAAAGTGGGAATTCCCTCGGAAGAACTTGGTTCTTGGGAAAACTCTGGGAGAAGGTGAATTTGGAAAAGTGGTCAAGGCAACAGCTTTCCGTCTGAAAGGCAGAGCAGGGTACACCACTGTGGCCGTGAAGATGCTGAAAGGTACCTGTCCAGGCACGTGCATAGCATACTCATGGGAGCCACCAGGGTGGGCAAGGCCTCTCCCACCTGCCTTGGGACCTCCTAAAGACCCCCCATTGCTGTTCTTGAGTGGGTGCAGTCTGGGGACCCCTATCATGGGTACATGGGTTGGTTCTGGAGAAGGAGAGCAAGGACTTAGTTCTCCCCAGAAAGCTCTAGTGGTGCTGCTGCTGCACCAGTGTCCATGAAGATCCAAGAATTTAAAAATTCTTAAAGCCCTTTGGTTTTGAGCTGACAGCTGCCTGCCCCAATGTCCCACTCATTCCTCTCAGCCAGGTGTCTCCTGGGGTCCTGGTGAAAAGACCACCTGTAAGGATTGACCCTCAATCTCAGGCAAACTTCCATGGGCCTGCCCCACCCCCTGACCAGTCATCCCTGAATTTGGCTCCATGGGCACAAGCACCTACCTATACATGGATGTGTGCCTTTAAGCAGCGACTGGTGACTGCACTGAGGGTGGGGAGGGAGTTCCTGCAGGGGACAGCTTGGCTGTGTGGCAGTGAGTAACATGAAAGTTAACTGCAGCAGTCCAGCGCCACATGGCACAGGTTGTGCCAGATGCTTACCCAGATCCTCAGACTAGGTTTGCCCCCAAGCCAGTAAGCCCCCAGGCTGTAAGGGGACAAATGAGCTCCTCAGATTCTGGGTGCAGCCAACCACAGCCCTAAGTCTGAGCATTCCTGATGCCCCAACTCCCAGCTGTCTTCTCCCAGTTAGAGAGTCCCTTGTCCTCCTCTATGGAGACAGAGGAGGTGGCATGGCACAGTTGGGCAACGGGTGGCAGGGTCGCTAACCCAGAAGAATAGCTTAGCCTCATCTGCTGACTCCTAAGATACCTTCACACCCAGCACCTGGTGGGAGCCCAAGCATAGCTCAGGCTACCCTCAAGACTTGTGTGCTCAGTAGGCCACTTCTGTGAAGTCTTATCTTTACAGTGCACAAAACACAGGACTTGCATAAGAGATTATAGCAGCCGTTAAGAAGTCCCAAGCTGGCTCGGCGCCTGTGGCTCAAGTGGCTAAGGCGCCAGCCACATACACCTAAGGTGGCAGGTTCGAATCCCCAGTCCGGGCCCGCCAAACAACAATGATGGCTGCAGCCAAAAAATGGCCGGGCGTTGTGGCGGGCGCCTGTAGTCCCAGCTACT